ACAAGGAAAACAATGAGTCAAAGTACATCTGTTGGAAAATTCGCGCAATTAAACCAAGAAATTTATTTTTGAGAAACTGCCAAAGTTGAACATGAAACGCTCACTTGCAACGCGTTCTAAAAAAAATTGTAATTTACCATTCAGCCAAAGTGCCGACTGGAAACATTTGCAGAAGGAAAACAATGAGTTAAAGTAGATCTGCTGGAAGATTCAAGCAAATAAACCGAGAAACTTATTTTTGAGAAACTACCAAACTTGAACATGAAACGCTCACTTGCAACGCGTTCTAAAAAAAAATGTAATTTACCACCCAGACAAAGTGTCGACTGGAAACTTTTGCAGAGGGACACTAATGAGTTCTCACTCATATCTCAGTATCTGTACAATAAAACTCGAGAAATTCACTAAAAAACTTATTTTTGAGAAACTTGAACTTTAAGGTTTCTGCAAAGAAACTGTAATTTACAAGCCAGACAAAGAGTCAACTAGAAACTGAGTTAAAGCACAAAGCAGCAATGGAAGAATCTGCTAATTCATATGGTGAAATTAACTGGATATCTGGAAATTGCCTATTTTGGTGTTCATTCGAAAAACTTAGACAAGTTTAATTTCCCAAATTTTTGTTTGTTACTTCAGTAGAAAAGAAGCGACAATTAAGGCCTTTGCAAGTAGGTTTTAAAAGACAATTACCAAACCCTGTTTCTAAGGCCCCAATAGCTCGAAAATCCTGACAATTGTTTTTGTTGGAACAACAGCAATCTACGCTATTACTGAACATAAAGCCGGATTCTTCGATCAATTATTTCAGTAATAGCCAGAGTAAAGTCAGTCATTGTTTCGTTGCGCCCCAAGTGATAACTAAAATGTTGGTGGGCGTAATTCTAATACTTATGGAGATTAGGTTTAAGTCATTAAGTGCACCGAAGAGCATGGAAAGAAACCGAATTCTACCAGTTATTCATAAAAGCGTTTCTACAGTTGAAGAATTCCATACGTTTGCAAACAAGAACGTGTTGAAGTGCTAATATTAAGTTCAAAGGTCTGTAAACGGCATTTTGGGTGTAGTTTTCATCTGATCAATGGCTTTAGACCATGTAAGAAAGAAGCAATTAATCCCAAATCTTCATTGAAAGTCACATTAAACTTAGAAACACTCACACGGTTTTCAATCTAGTTTACATAGAATTTTCTTTCCGTTAGATAGAATGACGAACTTTCAACAAATCAAGAAAAATTTGCTACGTTATTGCTGAAGTTTCATACATGATTGAGGAATTGAGATGAACAGGAAGACATTTGGTGTCGTAAAATTCCACTGGTGCATTTTTTAATTTTTTGCAATAAACAACACTTTAACAACTTAACCGTAAATATTGAAAGCGGTTTCAGGTATTATGAGCAAACGGAATCAGGCCTGGAGCGATTACAGGCCATTAACTTTTTTAAGTCCTATGATTAATAACTCGCACTAAATTATGGAACATCCAACAAAGCCAATTTCTTCAAGAAAGACGGTTGAATCATTAACGAAACTATCTTATGTAGCTGTTTTTTGCCTGGAGTGGGGAAATGCAAATTTTCATTGTTGCCTCTCTAACAGGCAAAAGAGGTTCCTCCATGTATGTAATCCATTACATAATACCACGACACACTTGAAGCCACCACCATCAACTCTGTGCTATTCGCCTTTCAACTGTACCTTCCGATAAAAACAGGAATATAATCGACGATATGACGAAAGAGATAAACACGAACTCGGTGTTTAAAATTCACGAGGTCTCAAGAATCTTTAGCTTTTGCCTTGGAAAGTCATCGTTATTCAGTCCATGTAGTTTTCGATTTTTTATCTTTGTCTGTAGTTTGCCTGAAGGGGACTGCGGCAATTCAAACCACAACCTGTTCTTCGGCATAGGCGTTCTTTAAGCTCATTAGTTTATTTCTAGAATATATATTGAACATTGATGCATGACTGTCAAATTGGAGATTTCCCTTTTGTAACGTTGGCTTTTTTAATGGAAAAACTGTGAGCCGATTGATTTTGTGAAGATGGTTGATCTTGAAACTGCTGAGTTTTTCGGGCTATGCTGAGCGAACCACTTCTGAAGATGCAGGAAAGTCGTGCTTGCGACACGTTAGTAAAATGCTTTTACACGACTTAAAAAACCCAAAAAACTCCTCGTGCTTGATATTTTTAAACTTCTTATTGAAAAATTACTACCTACCTAT